ACAAACAAACAAATCATCACAAACAGTAAATCTTGATAAATCAACCTTGCAAACCTTAACTCTGTCATATCGGTGTACTCGTGTGAGGAAAGTCAGGAAACGCCCACAGCCTCAGTCAGAGAACAAGTTTTCTAAGGTCTTACCGTCGCTCTCAGTTCAGCACAGCAGTGATCAGTTGTAAACCTCCACGACAGAGTTGCTGGACGACTGGAAGCAAATTGCCAAAGGTGGTTCAAAAACTCAGGCTTTCTATATATCTCTGAATTAGCAGGGGAACTAAAAACTTCCTTAATTTTACCAATTTAGTTTGGTACCATGAGGCTTCTTCTTCTCCTTCTCCTCCTTCTTCTTCTCCTTCTTCTTCTTCCTTATTAAAACAAGAAGGTGACAAAAACTCTTCCTACAAAGCACGTTTTTCAAACTGTGAATCCAGTGAGGACCCCTGCTGCTGCTGCTAAGTTCAGTTCATCAGTCGGACTAGTTACACTGAACAGCTGACCCTGTATTTAATCTTGAATTTACTGTAAATTAATCTCCAACTCACACTGACAGTATGAACGTGAGCTTATTGAGTCAACACTGCATGTCTTGCACATCTTTTTCTCAAAAGAGTTTGGCCACTTTTAATTCAATGGCAGCATGTATTTGCTTATCTCCAAGAAATACAAATCAATACAAAAATAAATAGATGCTTCCTCTTTATAGCATTATCAACCTAGCATTATGATTGTAAGCAAGATTATGCAAAAACTCACTATTGTGAGAGAGCTTTTTTTTTTGTTGATATTTTCCATTGATTCCTCATGGATCTTAAAGGTTCAGTGTGTAGAATGTAGTGACATTTAGTGTTGAAGTTACATGTTGCAGTTGAATACCCCTCACCTCACCCTCCCCCTTCAAACTTGAGAGAGAACCTGTGATAGCCTTTAGTTGTCATAAAACTCAAAAGGTTTAGTTTGACCTCTGTAGAAAACATGGCTGCCTCCGTAGAGAGGACCCACTCCAGATGTAAATATAAAGTATTTAAATATAAAGGGCCCATTCTAGGGTAAAGAAAACAACAATTCTTACAATTTAAATGAAACACACTAGTGAAAACAGGATTATTTTATATTAAATTTCTAACAATAGATCCCTTTCACCTAAATCTTACACACTGAACCTTTAAAGAACAACAATAAATGTATCTGCTTTAAGTTATTGTTTGTTTCATGACTGAAAAAGTTAAGAAACAAAGTGAGCTTGACCTAATTTAGATATGATCCGATCCATTTTTTCCTTTTTCAAAACAGTGTCAGCTATTAACTACCAGCAGTAACTTTAACATGCAACATGCAATTTTGGAGAGTTTTAACATCTTCACAAATAATTCAGTATGAATGTATAGTATTTTATTTAAAACCCTAAAAAATGGATGATGAGACTTTAACTAAAAAGGTTTTTTTTCCTGTTTCATAAATGGCGGTGGGTGGACAGTCCACAGAGAGGGCCTGTGTTTCCTGGCTGATAGTCACCAGAGGTTTCAGTGGCCATCATGTGTTTCACAATGACATGGAACAGTGGCTCGACGTGCATGCAAGGGAACATCCAGCCCTCTCACTTCTTATTCCTGATTCCTCATTTTCTTTGGACTCCACAAGATTCAACTATCAGACTGGGCTGTTGGTATTATTAGACAAAGGTGAATCACAAGGCACACAGACAGGCGCACACACACAAACACACAAACACACCCATAATGGGTAACTTTAAAGTATATCATGTAATCTGCTGTTTTAATCCGTTAAATAACATTTAAATGAAACTTTTTTCGTTCCCAAACTACGCACACAAACACGTTCATTTACCCATATAAGGCTGTTAGGGCTGTATGTGCTTTTGTCCTACCAAACATCCAAGTTCCTCTTTTTATATGTTGCTCAAGTCAGAGAAGGATGACTCATTACTGATATTAATCAGTTTTCTTTTGTTATCTCACTCTTCTAAGAATGCCTGTGCATGTTGGTCCATCTATTTTTAAGAATCTGAGAACTTAAAGAGTGGTTAGACTTTATTTTATACTTTAAGTATATTATTATATCTTGTATCAATGTTTAAAAAAAGACACCCCTGATTGCATTGGTCAGTTTGACAACAATGTGTTTTTGACAGGAGTTAAAGCTGGTCTTCATCATTCTTCAACATTTAAGCCATTTGATGTTGCTCATTATTATGGAGGTAAATGTACCTGAGAATTTAGATCCATATTATTATCTCTTTTTTTCTATGCCAGAGACAAAGTATAATCAAAAGGAGAATGGAGCAGAAGTTCTAATCAGGAAAGACATATATATACACATAAACATATATATGTGCTCTAAACACAGTTTCAAGTGCAGATAATTCTCTGGCAGGGGATGAAATGTAATTTGCTTTGGTGAAATAATAAGATACATTTTGTGTTACTGCTGTCAGACAGTAGGACAAGTATGGCATAGTGACTGAGAAGTGTCCCATCCAGACTTCATGTTACCCAGAAGTCCCTTCCAAGTTGTGGTCAGGGCAAGTGTTACACTGCAAATCATGCAGTAAACTCCTGTCATATACTCCACCTGGTGGTCAGGCAGTTTATTAGGAGAAGTTACAGATCAACCTTGGGTGTCCCACTACAGATTAGATGCTGAACACTGAGGGACCCACCAATGAAAGTGACCCTTACAAAGTATATGCACTAAAATGACTTTTGAGTGCATATTTTGAAAATACAGTAAAGACTATACACTATCTTCGGGAGGTCTGTGCACAGAGAAAAGAATATATACGTATGCTGGATAAACATGAATGGCAATATAAGATATAATCAAATAAAGAAAATGCTTGTGTTGTCTGAGAAAGGGCTTAAAATATTATTACGTTTACTGAGGCAAACAGCGGCCCAACCAGTGAACCTTTTTTTTAATGAATTATTAAAACGATTCATCAGGTATCAAAGTTGCTAAAGATAGATTTTGTGTGAATCGCCATAGCAGTGAAGACGAAAGTCATTTCAGCTCTGCATGGAACAAAATCATAAATTTAAAAAGTTTTAAAAAAAACTGCACAGGAAGAAGCATCTACATCACAATATTTGACAATATTGCTTTGGCAAAAATAAAGGCCAGTGCATCAATATGTGTATGTTAAAGAAGAAAGCATAAAATTATGAAAAAAACACAACATTGTTGGCATTTTTAAATTCTGTGACTTATTCCTAATCTGTTTTCTACTTTAGATCAACATATAATACCTTTCTGTAATCCTTGAGATATTTTCTAATCACACCAGGAGAAATAATGGAGATATCATACAAAGAAAAGACATGACACCGCTTATAGTGTTCTTTGTGCCAAAAAAGAAAATTCTGCTTGAATTTGATAATCTTGGATAGGTCACTTTGTAATCTTGTATTAGGATTTTTTTTAAAGCCTATCCCATGCTGTATGCATGACAATGTTGCTGAATTAAAACAAATATTATGCAAAAAGGACAGAAAGCTGAATATTTTTTTTATTCTATACATTCATATTGACAAACAACGTATTTTTTTCATAAAGAAACCTAGCCTAAATAAAGAAACTATAAAATTAATTTAAAACATTCCATTAAAGGTCCAGTGTGTAAGATTTAAGTGAAAGGGAACTATTGGCAGAAATTTAATGTAGAATAATCCTCACGATGTTTTCACTAGTTTGTTTCATCTAAATTGTATGAATTGTAGTAGTAGTTTACCTCATATAAGGCCCTTTATATTCAAATACTTTGTATTTACATGGAGGGGACCCTCTCTATGGAGGCCGCCATGTTTTTTACATTAGTCCAGACTGGACAAACTAAACACCTTTTGAGTTTTTATGACGACTGAAGTTTACCACAGGTTCTTTTTCATGTCTGGAAGGAGAGGGTGAGGTGAGGGGTGTTCAGCTGCAAAATTCTACACACTGTACCTTTAAAGGTGTATCACATTTATTTAAAACTGAATAAAACCCAGTTGGATTCGGCTTTTATTTTGGGTGAACTATCCCTTTAACACTCTTGATCAATTAGTACACAGTATTGATTAGTGAGTCCTCGGGGCAGAAACTTCAGAAACTTCCAGAAGTGTGAGTCTGGGCGGATCCAGATCCTCTTCCTCCTCCTCCTCCTCTCTGATCCAGTGTTTCCTCCGGGATGGTGCTGTGGACGTGGCTGTTTGCAGAAGCCGCGGTGGGCGCTGCAGTCGGCGGATGATCGCTGCCCCGAGCCCCAGCAGAAGCAGCAGAGAGTGGAGGAGCCCCGCGCCGCCGCCTGCCTGCCTCCATCAAGCCAGCAGCCTGGATGGCAGGGACACACCGGTGCGAGGACAGCCGAATTCACAAGGTATTTCCGACGGGAAACTCCGGAGCCACGGTGCAGCTGCACGCGCCTCCGATGTTTAACGTGAACACCAACTTTAGTGGAAGTGACGCTGGTTGTAGCTGCGCAGTCTTCAGCGTTCAGATCACTGCGTATGTGTCCGAGCTAACGTCGGCTAACGTTAGCCTGCTAACTTTAGTTCACAGACACCAGAGTTATCCAGCCCGAGGAGGTTTGAGTGTCGCAGTGATGAACCTCGTTGCTTGTTCGTGTTCGCCCCGTTGACTTTAATGTGTGTCTGTATTTTAATATCACAGCTCTGAAGCGTCTCTGTCCTGATAACCTGACCCTCACAGAGAGATGAGGAGCAGCAACACAAACACTCCTGCTAAAGTTAGGAAACAAGAATCTACAAATCAGAACTTCTGCCAGTTCCTGAGCAGCTTCCAGACAGAAGCAGACACTTTCATTCTCTCAAGCACTTCAATATTTCCATTTTCCTTCCACCACATACATGTCAGGACTAAATCCTGTGCTTTACCCTCAGTGTGTATGATTAGCATGTTGTGCAGACATGTTTTTAGAAGATAGAAGGTTGAACTGGAGGTTTCTGCTTGTGACCCAGTGTGTGGTTTGGTCCCTTCTCAGAAATGAATTCCTGAGGATGTCCAGAGTTTTTCCACAGATTGTGTTTCACATACGAAGAATGTAGCAGGAGATTGTCTGGTCAAGTTCACAACAGGAAGATATTCGGAAAATTTAGAGGAGAGAGTGGCCCCTGGGTAGAGTATGTAAGGGAGGGGGGCAGAACTTTTAAATTCTGCTGTGGAAATCACTTTTTTATTACAGCACACCAAAAGCTCT